CGTTGCGGTGGCACCGCGACGACGTCCGAGAGAATGCGACGGATGACGAGGAGCGCGAGGCGCTTGGCGTCTCGCACTACGGCGTGAGTCTTACCATTCTGCCGCAATGCATGCCGGTGTTTCCCGTCGAATGTGCAGCGAATGCGAATGCGTCGCCCGCCTTGGATAGCACGACTAGTGGCGTTCTCGGGGTGTACATCGTGCGGGGCCTGATCAGCCTCGTCCCTTGCGATGTGTAGACTGCGGGCCTACTCCCTATCTTATTCATTGCATATCCACGCACACCACCGGTCGCGGTGAACCACGCCAGTGTGCAGTACTGATCCCGATCCGTCCGCCCGACAGGTGCAATGGAACACGTACAGCCCGTCTCCCGTGCTCTGACCCAGGACCGATGCTCATGCGGACCACACAGGGCCCTCTACCGCGACTCCTGCCTCTACGTCGTCCCCGGCTCGCACCGCAACCCGCGCTCCCCCGGCCAGCGCGCCCACTCCTCCACCCTCGACGCGCCCAAAAACCCCATGGACATGCCCGGCGCGATCCAGGTCGTCCTCCAGCGTGCGCCCCCCTTCCCCTCCACCCGCACCGCCGGACGCTGACCGCGCGCACCCGCAGCGGGCGAGACGGTGTTCTACAACAACAACATCCTGCACTGCGCGACGTACGACCCGGGCGCGCGCCGCGCGACGCTGCACGCGTGCATGGGCGACACGCGCGGCGGCCGCGCGCGCGCGCGCAACATCCTCCAGCACGGCCTGCGCTGGATGAAGGAGCCGCGCTTCCGCGCGCGCCTCGGCTCGCGCGCGCAGCAGATGCTCGACCGCCTCGTGCGCCTGCAGGAGAGCGTGGCCGGCGAGCTGGGCTACTCGCAGGCGGATTAGCGGCGGTGCTGTGTTTGCTGTCTCAGTCTCGATCACATTGTCTAGCTAGCGTTGCCATGTATCCCTGGTTTGAATCTTGTATCTTGTATCCTCGTATCTCGTACTGCCTGCGTGTGGTTTAGGGACGTTTTGATGATGTCCGTGCGACGAGAACATCGCCTCATGCCGTCTGTCCGCGGCTCGAGTACTGCCCTCTCGGCGTCCGCCCCGCTGACGTCCTTTCGCAGTGCAAACCACGTACGTGCCCATGTGTAGGCTCGATGTCAAAACGCATCAAAATGAACAGTACTTGTGCATCGTACATTTTCATAAGCAGTGCAAGATGTGCCATTCCGTGTGTATGGGGGATAAATAGTACTACAATGCGGATATATGCTACATGGCCACGTGCGGAAGACGGCCCAATACAACGATCAAAGCAGCTCATGCAACACCCTGTCATACTGGTGGGGCAGGTGCGAGCTGAGCATGTCCCGCGCGAACACAATCTGCCCAAACACTCGCTCCACATCGAGCACCTCAAACAGCCGCACCTTCTCCCCGCCCTTGCCGCCCTCCCGTCCCGCCTCCAATCGGTGCGCAGGCTGCAGCTCCCCGTCGCGCAGCGCCCAGAAGACGCGCCCGGGAGGGTACAGCTGCACCATGTGCATGTTCGCCTCGAGCGTCTTGCGCATCGCCACGAACTGCACGCATCAGCATCAGCATCGGCCCTCTCGACCACACAGCCGCACAACCAGACAAGACCGCACACGCACCCACTCTGCGTCGCCGTCCTCGCCGAACCCCGCCTTCCACCGCAGCGCGCGCCGCGTGACGCCCGAGTACCCCTCCGCGCCGCGGCCCTCCGCGTCGCACAGCCACGCCGCCGCGCGCGTGAGGTCGCGCACGCTCCCGAGCGAGAGCCGCGCGACGACGTCGTGCGCGTACACGAACGACGTGATCAGCCCCGACGCGCCCGCCGCCGCCGCGAGCTGCGGCGACGCGATGCACGGCGGCGCGAAGCAGTACGCGGACACGGGCCGCCGCGCGGGGAGCCCCGACGCGCGGTGCGTCAGGCGCGTCTGCGGGTCTGCCCACATCTGCGGAGTCAGCGTCAGCCAGGGACGGGCACGGGGGAGGGTGCGGGACGGACGAGTGCGAGCAGGCCGGCGACGCCGGCGCCGAGGCTGTGGCCGCAGAGGACGAGCGCTGTGGGACGGTGAGCGGCGGGGTGGCGGGAGGACGGGCGACGCACAGTATCCGTGGTTCCGGCGGAGCGCGTCGCGCACGGCGACGTGCACGGGCTTCCCCGGGCCGCCCATTTCGCGCGCCATCTTCAGCATGCCGCCGTGCACGAGGTGTTCACCGTCCCGGATGTCCTCCGATTGAGAGGGGGCGGCCGAGGGAGGCGGCTTGGGGCGGGCGCGTGTCTGGTCCTTTGGCGACGGGGTGGAAGGGTCCATGGGGAACGAACCGGGGATGCTCTCGAGCTCCTCCTGGAGGCTGCTGTCCTCGCGTTCGTGGGCGGCGCGTTTCTCAGAATCGGCCCGTGCGTGCGACCGCGATCTTCGCCGCGAATGCGACCGCGGTCGGGAGGACACAAGTTCGAAAGGCGCAGTGTCGCACGTGAGGTCAACCGCAACCTCGTTCAGGCTCATTGTACCCCGAATGACGAGCACGACCTCGTGCCGCGCGTGATCTGTCAGCACCCAAAAGCGCGGCATAAGGGCGTCCGAGCCCACTGACGCCGTGGATGGCCGGGGTGGAAGCTTGGGGCGCACTGGATGTGAGTCGTCCACCTCGGCTGGCGGTGTATGAGGCTGCGAGTTTGCATAGTTGAGGAAGATATCTCGGTCGTGCTTGCCCATCAGAACATTCCACCATGAATAAGAGGACTTCCCAGGACCCGAAGGGGTGTCGTCGACGTGGGCAGAAGTGCTGCTGTTAGAGGCAGATGCGTCGGCTTCCGAAGCACCCACGGCATCTGCAAGCTTCATTTCCTCTTTCTGTTTCTCCTTCTCTGACGAAGACAAAGGAGAGGAAACACCTGCGCTCGAAAGTGAGGATAAGGAGACACCGAAGAACAGTAGGCCGGGTCCTCCATAGCCTGCCAGGACCATCTTGGAAAGGCGGCGGAGGGTCTGCTTGAGCTCAGCATTCGACATCGAAGACTTTGCAGCAGATACAGATGGAGACGGGGACGGCTGCAGATTGCTCGAAGTTGCCCTAGTCGGAACAAAGGAAGCGGATGCAGCCTCGCCAAGGTCAGCGGTGACAATCTGGCCGCTGTGGCTGGGGTAGATCACGTCCGCTGTGATGTGCACCCAGTCGTCCTCGAGCCAAGTTCTGAGGCCATTTTCAGCTGGAGGTGCGTTAGCTAGCTGCGGCTCGTCATTGACGTCCATCTCTCGCATGTACTTGAACCACTGCCCCTCTTGCCACTCGCTGGTCACTCCTTGGAGCGTTGCCCAGCCTGCGAGGGCCTTCAAAATCTTGGAGATCCCAAAGCGCTCTTCTGGGAGGCTCTCGCTCTCAGCAGGCTCCGCCCATTCCCGGCGAACAAGTCCGACAAAGCTTGCGAGGGAGAAGCTCGCCTCATCGCTCCCGGGGAAGATGGTGGATACACTTGACAGTGACGATTGTGCGGCGACGAGAGAGGTGGAGGTGATGGTCTCGCCTAGGAGGATAGGCGCAAGGGCGATTGACTCAATGGTAGATATGGCAGTGGAAACTGCGCCTCCCAGGAGCGGGCCTGCGCCGATGTTGCCTCCGAACAGAACATGATCAACCACAGACCCTGTTATGCCTGCTGCGGTCGATGCAATTCCACGAGTCACTGAGAACTGAACGTTGAATCCCAGACACGCCCATTAGTGTCGGATGGGTCGAACACAAAGTCACAATGCTTACACCGAGCTGTGTGCCAACCTTGGCAGCAGAGAATCCTATCGAAGTGGCGGTGGACGCAAAATCAAGACTAAGTCTTCCGTACTTGTCCCATTTGGAGACGTTTGTCGAGGACATGGAAGGGAGACATGCACGTCGGAAGGAGAAAGCTGCAGCCAAGCGCGTGTTTTCACGTGCTTATGTCTCCGAATTGTCTCCGTCGACTCTCCAAATGCACTGAGTCTTTATATCTGTGCACAAGTCTGTCCATGCATGCAAGTACTGGCATGTCTCCATCATGCATCGCCGACAGAGCTTACAACTGGCAGCTATTGTATAAGGATCAGACTCCTAGCTCCGCCGAATTCGTGCAGTTCTTTGGTACCGATAACATGACCGCCCCTGGCATCTACAGCGGCTTCAAGCTTCAACTTTGCTGAAGAAACAGAACGTCACTTTCGCCTTACCACGGACGATCGTCAGGCCTGGCGGAAGGAATGGAAAAAAGAAAATGCTCGGAGTGAGGGTCGATGTCGGAAATTTATTTTGGGCCTGATAAGGCCCATCAGGGCCGCCAGACCCTCCCCATCTGGCAGGGAAATTGTAACTGAATAAGCTTCGGCCGTTGCCTGGCAAGATGCCTGGCGAGATGCCTGATAAGATGCCTGACAAGATGCCTGATAAGGACTGGGGTCAGCCGGCTTAGTCAATATTTGTATACAATTATATTTGTATTACATCTTATATACTATTATTAGCATATATTATATATCATTACACATGCTGCACACTAAAAGTATTGCGCAGACGAGGATTCGAACCCTCGACTACACTGGCACTTCAGAGCATAACACTACACCTACACACGACAATACCATTACACTACAAGACCGTACAAAATCCACCCCATATAAGCGCTATGAGTGCCAAATGTTCAGCCAATAACACCCGAGAGGGATCCCAAAACATTACCTGCCATTAGAGGGATATCTGCATGTTCGGAAAACAGCTGGTCCACGTCGTAGACAGCAGAGGCGACGCACAAGCATGTTTCCCATTTCTCGGCAGCGCATTGGTGCCACGTGATTGCGTCCGATCCTGGTAATTGCCGGCATCTGGCTGGCAGGGGCCTCTGCCAGATGTCGGTCCGGCCTGACGGCCCTTGCCGACAAAAAACAGCCTTATAAGGCATCTGATCACCCATTTCGGTGCTTCTCCAGGCGCTCATCAGGCTTTCGGCCTGATCAGGCGGGTTTGAAATTTCCGACAGAACTCACGACCTCAGGATTACGTAAGCAGGATTGTTCCTCATTGAGAGGATCATACTTGCGTATGAGACCTGCGCTCTAACCAACTGAGCCATCCAAGCGCGATGAAAGGTACTCTGACATACCCTCAGAATGATGCACGAATCTACTGGCGTCTGAAACCTTTCCTGGAAACGTGGCCACATCGACTCGACGGCAATGTCCGGTGTCGACGTTCATGACACTCGCACCGTGTTCAACAAAGATCACTTTAGCCTTCCTTGACAAGTGCCTGCCAGTTCCCGCTCACGCAGAAGAATAAAGAAGCTGTCCGCAGCGTCATCAACCAGGACACAGTGTTGAAGGGGAGGAAGTACTGGATTTTGTCGTTGCGAATATGTACGCGCAATTTCAGGGATATCGTTGACCGGCCATTGACTCATTTTCCTTTCAGAGATCCCAGCCACAGCCACGCGCCTTACTTAGGTCCTGTGGCACGGGCCACGGAAACACGATTGCTCTTTCTTGCACACCCATCATGTCGTCCACACCCCTTCCTGATACTTCTACTGTTCCGACACCTTCGAACGGTTACAGGTACATCCCTACCGTAGCCACTCCGATTGCACAAAAGGCCCATAGCTGGGACGACAACGTGTCGGGCCGGAACGACCGGAACGTCCAATATGCGAAGCAATCCATCTTGGGGCCCATGCCTGTGCAGGACTTTATCAACAAATTCCTCCCTCGTTCAACGTCCACGGACATGCCGTCGTCTGCTGATGCATTCAAGAACGTTCCAACAATGCCTACTAAACAGCAAACAGAGTTTTATGACCGCCTTGTGAGTAGCCATATGATGATTTCTCATTTAACTATTGACCGGTGTTCTTCAGGTAGACGCAATCAATGGCGACTATGATGGCTCCAGTGAGAAGAAGACAAAGAAGAAATCAAAAATACCATCTCGATGCCCCGGATTTGTCTTCAAGAACACTTCGAATCGAGCCAGCATCTGGGGAGACGAACTATGGAAGCCAGACATTTGCTGTTATGCCGAGCAGACAGTCAACCTAGCCGTAGCCTCCAACGGAAAGCCTCTCGCTCACCTGGGTTACGCAGAACTATTCATCGATGTGAAGAAGACGCCTGACCATGACTTCTTCAATGATCCGCCAGACGATGCCGACCGCTCCGAGCATCAGTTCATTCTGGACATTGCAGATAAGGGGATTTGTCGGTATGCCACGATGGCACTGGCACAGAATGTGGCGTATGCTACGGAGGCCTGTGCCAGGCAGCACCGCACGTTTTATCTCTCGATGTCGTTGGCTGGGACGTTTATGCGCTTCATCCGCTGGGACTGCGCTGGCGCCATTGCTTCCGAATCGTTCGACATCCACGAACAGCCGGAACTGCTTTGTAACTTCCTGTGGCGCTTCGCTCATGCGTCGGCTACAGAGCGTGGTCACGATCCGACGGTGGAGTTCGCAGCAGCGGGCGACGAGGCCCGCTTTCGGGAGACGATCTCTAGGCGCATCAAGTTCGAGACGGGCTTCGCGGGAAAGGAACTGGACGACGCTATCAACGAGCATTACCAGCCCGGCGTAGTGACTGTGATCAACGTGGAGGACAATTTGGGTAAACACACAGAACGGCTGCTCGTTTCCCGTCCGGTCGTCTCTCCTTTTTCAGTTAGCCGTGCGATGCGCGGATACTGGGCTGTGACAACTGAAAACGAGGTTGTCTTCCTCAAGGATAACTGGCGTGATCCCACCCTTCACCAAGAAGGCGAGAATATCGAGGACATGGAGAAGGCCAACGTCGTCAACATACCCAAGATACTCATCCACGGAGACGTCCCCGCCCCGCCTCGGAAGAAAGTGTCGAGGACTGCTACTGCATGGTCTCGTGGCAATGCAGTTGCCAAACCACGTAAGAAGCAACCACGCAGTAAGCATTTATTTTGTTCTTTCCTTTGCATCCTGACGCATACGCGCGACTTACGCCAAGGTATTCAACACACGCAAACCGACAAATTCACAGGTTGTAACTGGGTATGCCGTGGTGGTCGAGTCAGATCGGTGTCTGGTTATACACACTACCGCCTGGTCTCGAAGACAGTTGGATATCCACTCAAGCACTTCGTTGATGCAGGGGAATTACTGCAGGGAACTTTCGATGCCTACGAAGGTCAGTATTCTCTGCGACAGATTGGTAGTTACATGACTGACAGTCTTGGGATCAGCTATGACGTCGGCCTATGTCAATAACCGTCGGTTGCATCGGGACATCAGCATTGGGAACATAATTCTGGTCCGCGAAACCGAGGGCACCCAACGGCGGGGCATCCTAATTGATTGGGAGTTATCGAGCATAATCGAAGACGATGGCGATGTCAACGTTCGACATTCTGGGCGAACGGTATCTAGCAGCAGTATTCATCGAAAAGAATCCTAGCTAATAGATACATCTTCGGTTATCTAGGGCACATGGTACTTCATGTCAATACGTCTTCTCGAGGGACGTCCTTGCGAGGGACCGTGGCTTTCACACACCATTCAAGATGACATGGAATCCATGCTCTGGGTTGTCCTCTACTGTGGCTTTCGGTGGCTGCCCGTCGAGGTGCAAGCTGGCAGATCATTGACTGGCACGGCACGTGCTCTATTTGAACACTACGACCACAACGACACAATAAACTTCACCGCCGGTGGCAATTGGAAACTCCTGAACACCCTAGATCGAACCTATACTGACAGAGTCAAATTCAAATGCCAAGCATTCCGGGAATTCTGCGAAACCATGATGGACTACCACCGCCCCCGTCAACACCTCAAGGAAGAGCTCGCTGGGAAGTGGGACCGTCCCGCAGATCTTCAATCATTCTGGAAGGAGTTCCTCAAGACGAATGGACAGAAGCTCGTTGGGGAATCTTCCGAGAAGTGCGACAACAAAGTGGCCATGACGCCGACCGCTCGCCCCTTCCAGGCGACGCTCACTGGTTTCAAACAGCTGCCTCTTTACGAGGCTGCACCGCCCGCTCCCTCGCGCCGCGGCTTGAAACGGAAGGCCGGCGGAGAAGCAGGTGAGACGGGAGTAGTGGTGAAACGCACTAGGGTTACCGGGGATCCGCGACCTGTTCAGGGCCGCACGGTGCAAACACGCTCCATGAAGAAGTTGGGGGCGGCGTCGGGAGTTGCAGAGTCCTCCGACGGGGCAGCTCGCGATGCTCTAGGGGAGGATCCGACGGTGGGAGAGCCATAGTCCGTCACCGGTAGGCGGAGGTCTCAGGGAGGTAATCACGAGGGATCTGGTCCACTCGGCAGCCAGGCCTAAAAGAGGAACCAGGTGCGAGAACGTTTGCGCTCCTGGAGGTCGAGGCAAGTAATACTCGTCAGTATGCAGTTACATGGAAGATTGTCCCGTCGGTTTTCTCCTTGTTGGCATCTCTCGCGGCATGAAATAATATCGTTGGTTTTTGAAACAATAACGGCGATCCTCAATCAGCGCAGATACTTGCATGAATCGAATGTGATCGACACCTCCCGTCCGTGTATGACTGGGTGCAGGTAGCGCGAGTCAATTCAGATTTCATTTCAAGTCTACTTGTGCCACATACATACAGTTCTGCGCATACTGCTTCTACTGCACTTACTATATTCTTCGCCGCTTGAATCACCCAACCACGAATGATGATCCACAACTCGCCCCGCAGGAATTGACCAGATCGAAGACGTACATGCTGTACTATTCCGCGAAAGGCACCTGTCGAGACATGATAACGAATGGCAGTCATCCATCTAAGTTAGCAAGATTCACTTGATTGTGCTGCGGGGCAGAACTGGCGGCAGAGTTCGTGCGTCTGTGATTATGAGGGGCTATAGATGGTTCGCACCTGTCATGCAAAGCCAGCAGGTGACTTACCAGTATGAATCCTCTAGAGTCTAGACCAGCCGCTTGGCCGCACTCAACCAAGATACTTGCCCAGGAGTGATCCTCGTGGCTGCAGATAGCTTACGCAGGTCCAGTGTGCCCCAGAACGACAAGGAAGGAAAGCCGCCCGGATGCTCGTGTGACGCGAAAAGGGGCTCATAGCAAACGGAGCGAGGCGATTGCGGATTTGGACGTTCCGTACAAGCACCGTGAGCTCTTCCGGGGACAACATCGCGAGGTAGAAGCCGAAGTATGTCTGGGGAAGCGTGGGGTGGTCGCACGACGAGAACACGCCTTTTGGGAAGACGGTGCTTCATGCGTTACAGGTCGCTGTATTTAGGAAGCCGCTCGCGTGCTGGGTGGCGTCACAGATAAGAGAGCCGCGTATTCCGGCTCAGACTTGTCTCGCAACCACCATCATCTCTCCAGAGTGAGAGGTCCTGGTCGCATTTCATCCCAACACCCCCTCAGTACAGAATGCGCGGGTTGTTTGTCGCCTCGCTGGCGGCAGCCGGTCTCGCGGCCGCCTTTGCGCATCCCGGACATGCCGACAACGGAGTTCGTCGTCGCAAGACGCTTGGGTTTGGGCCCGTGCATCGCCATGCGGTCTTCCACTCGGAGGCGGATGCCTTTGGCAGCCTCTTTGCGTCGAAGAGTGATCCCTATGAAGTTGCTCAGCGCTTCGTGAAGGACCTCACGAACGACTCGCCACCCGCCAGCTCATTTGTCATCCGCAAGGACTCGTACACCGACAAGGCGACGGGCGTCACGCATGTCTATGTCCGTCAGTACATGCACGGTATTGAGGTTGTGGACGGAGATATCAACCTGAATATCAAGGACGGTGCTGTCCTGTCCTGGGGTGACTCGGTGAGTCATCAATGTTGTATCTCGGATATCACGAGACTCATGCCTCTGTAGTTCTACCGTGGTGCAGAGCAGGATCCGTTCGTCCCAGCTCTCGTTCGTGGCCTCCCCGACTCCCACAGCGAGTACTGTAACAGCATCGCGTCGGAGATGCAGGCACGCACGGAGCAGCTTTACCAGCAGAGCGAGCAGACCCCCCTCAGCAACGCTGCAGAATCGCTTGGGCTTCTCCCGCAGCTTCATGAGTGGAACTGCGCGCATGTCATGACGCCATTTGCGATGGCGCAGAATGCGGAATTCGCAGCTGCGCAGGAGGACT